TCGCTCAACTCATACTCCCTTAAAGTAGCGTCTGGCATGGATCAAGTTAAATCTAACCACTTGATATGAATTTTTAGTAAACACACAGGACATTTTTCTTTTGCCCTTGAGAACATTTGGTCATTTACCCATTTCATGAATTACAGTCACCAATCCATATAGTTCATTCAATTCATTGTTCCCACTTTTAACAGCCTTGTTTCCCGTGCAAAAAATTAATCTTAAAAAACATAATGATATTTTAAGCTCAAAATCCCCCTTCAACATCTAAACCCTAAGAAGGTATAATTTTTTTTTTTTTAATCTATGAATTATATTATTATGGAATACAATTGAAACCAAAAGTGAAGGTGCATGCATGCACACTATAGAAAAAATGCTTATAAATATCGAATTAATAAAAATTCGACCAATTCATTATGCATAGAAGAAACATATAATTATACGTCACGTAAACTCACTCAAATGGGTCTTTGGTGGATCCTTTGTTATGCTCTTTAGAACCCTTATTTACACTCGAAATACCCTTCGAAATTCAAAAATTTAAGAACACAGATGCCCAAAATAATGATTAATAAAAAATAAAAGCATAAATGCAGGCGTGACCTATAGCTAAAACTATTGACATACATACTCATACACTTACAGTGCATTAGAATCCAAACATTTGGAGCTGCCCATTTTGTCAAACAACTAATGCCCAAAAAAAATTAATAAATAACACTGATCACTTCATATATTCAAATCACGTTAAGAAAAAAAAAAAAAGACGAAGAAGAAGAAGAATACGTACATGAGATTGAAGATGATGCCTTTCAATTTTCTGGCAAAATTACAGCAACGAGAGTCATGGAGAGAGAAATACAAAGGAAAAGAAGAAGAAGAAAAATAAAGAGGAGCTTGCACAAGATTGCGTGAGAAATGGAGTGGGTGGTTGAGTGTGAGAATGGAGAAACAAGAGGAATGGGTATTGAAAAGAGAATCGTTAGTTAAAAAATAAAAATTAGTGAAGGACGACACATTTTTTCGACACATGTCCTGACATTCTTTCACTCTTTTATATATGTAGATCATTTTCAACAATGTTGGTAGGTGGCTAAAAAGTGTTGGATAAGAAGAAAAATTGATTTTAAAACTGTTGAATGAGCACGTGCCACGTGTCAACAATGTGAAAAATATTGTACACAAATCATGATTCAAGAGAAGACATGTTATTTTCTCTCTTTTTATTATAAAATATCTCAAACCCTAAGTGTGATATTTTGTAGTATAATTTGACATTGTCATCTTAATAGACAATTTTCTCAACATTATGAGTAGAAATTAAGTAGTTAAAAATAATACATAAAATGTGCCAAATTATTTATTTATATTTTTGCGCTCGACAATCTAAAAGATAACTTAATTGCATTATATACTTACTAACATATAAGAGATTAATAAAATCTCATATTTCAACTGTAGATGCTTCATCTCATAGTGAAATCTTAGAAAAGCAAATTATTAGCATTATATAAATGACAGTCCTGATGTATTTTGACATACAATTTTAAAGATAAATATACTCGAAAAAATGAAGTAAATAAGAAAGATCGTCCCATTTAGAAGGCTATACTCATGGGAAACATATATACATATTAATTGTAAATTCAAAGGTTCTATTGAAAATTGAGATATTTCAATAAGTCATGTTGATGATAATAATAATAATAATAATAATAATAATAAAAGAGAATAAAAAAATTATCAACAACACTTTCGTACATGATATCTTGCTTTATATTTGAACAACGAAGTCATATAAATTCGTCTAAGCTAATTGATGTAGAAATGATTAGCCAAATAAAACAACGCGATCTAGAAAAATTTAAGTTATTAAAAAAATCAAAAGTATATGTTGCACGATTTTGAGTATAATTTTTTTGCAAATGATTGTACGAACATGTAAAATTCTTTCGTAGTGGAAGCAATCACAAGTTGATGTCTTATCAGCCCAAAAATGCATAAAAATTGCTATGCGTCTAAAATGTGGCTATAAATAGCTCATCTGATATGAGTAGCATTAATATTTATATGAAATCCCAAAGGATTTAATGTGCTCAAAGTATACCGTTCAATTTTTTAGGAAACTTATCCAAACAAAAGATACAAAGATAATTTACAAATTTCAGAATTATATGAATACAAAATGATCTTATATGCCCATGTATTTTTATAAAGAAATCAATATCTGAATTTGTTGTTATTGATGTATAAATTGATTATTCAATATTAGTAGAACTAGAGCTTTCCAACGTAGTTGATTACTTAAATAAATAATTTCTAACCCAAAAAAAAAAAAAGTAATTTTGCTTCGACTTGGAAATCGATCTCTTGTCCAATTATATTCAATATTCTAAAACAAACGCCTAAGTGTGAAGCGAGAGCAAAATGTTTTGCCTTAGCAGTAAGGGCGAATTAAGTTATCAACCACTAAGTTGACTGCTTAATGCACAGCTAGACACATTTTATTAAATTTTTTAATAAACTTTTTTATTTAACTTTAGTTTCAAGTTTTTAAATTACTTTATCTATACAAAATTCAAAAATGACTTTATCTGATAACGATTTAGATATATCGAGATTTGACCTGCTAACTAGTCACATATCTACACTGTCTATCAACATAATTCAATATTTGATCACGAAATTTGCCATTTCACTCATAAATTATGTACACCACCACGTTTGAAATATCCTTCACCCTTTCAAAAATTCTACATTTTAGATTCAAAGTTCAACTACAATATGGAACCACCAATTCTAACGCCATATACTTTTTTTAACGTTTGCTATCCTAAAATTTTGAAAATGCATGAAATCACGGACATTCAAAATTATAAAAAAGTCACAACGAATTAACATAATAAATTCCTATAAATCTGTTAATTAGGACTTATCCAATTTAAAGTTAAGTAAATATGATATTTTATAATTTTAGAACAATTAAATATTTAAAATAATAAGAATAAGTAACTTTGTTTACGCCTAGGGCTCCTAAAATCTGAAACTTGACCTAGACGCCTGGAACGCTTTATGATTTTTAGAACACTTATCATGTAATTTATATAAAAAATCCTAAAAAAATTTCATAAGAAAAAATGATATTCCATTTGAACTTGATCGTTATTTGTTACATGAAGTGAAAAAAGGACCATTTTTATAATCGATGTGATAATGAAAACTTATCAGTCGTGAAGTATCATAGTTCATGATGCAGGACTAGTTAATTATGATTATGCTGATCAGTACAAAGGCCATCAATTAATTTATCTATTCACAAGTGACTACTATGACAATTTATGTGGAAGACATGTAAACAAAGACAATATCTATTGAAACACTAGAGAGAACGATGAATAATATATACACATCTCAATTGATATTATCATGAACGGAGTAAATATACTTAGTACACTTTTCCATTGATCGAAGTTTTCTCATACTGAATTTTTCTAGCAATATTTTTAATGAGACAATTTTCGCAGTGTTAAAATAATGTACTATTTTTAATTCATTTTGATTTTTGCCACAAGATTTTTCTCCGTAAGGTTTGAATATTCATTTCTTTGTGTAATGAATGTCCATAAATTTTAAAATGTTTTACTCAGGTGTGTTACAAATAGTATACAAGACTTTAGAATAGAGTAACGACATTATCTTTTTCTATGTAATTGCATTGAATAATCATGCTAACTATAGTCACCCAATAATGGATGAATATATGAATTCGAAGACTATAACAAGACAACATGATACATCATCATAATTGTGCTATTGAAAACATAGATACAAAAGACATGGATAACTTGATAATAGAATTTTCATTCATTGAAATCATGGAGAGTAGCTTTACTTTTTTCTTTCCCTCCCTCAAGTTTTGTCTTATTGAGTTTTCTTGAGAATATTTTAGTGAGACAATATTTTATTATTTTTATATTTTCGTACTCTTTTACTCTTACTTAATATTTTTTGTCCATTGAATTTTTATCAAACAAGATTTATAACGAGACAATTAGTGTCTAAATAATCATTCAAAATGGAGTGTTTTAAAACTAATTATAATTTTATGAACGATTATTATACCTCTACAACCCTAACTGAACCTATAAATATATGATATCGATTCTCGATAAAATACACACAAATATATTATCTCTCCATTTTCTTTTTCTTTCTTTCTCTAATTTATAACACAAACAAATATATGAAGCTATTTTACTCAAATTATTATCACATAAATCCTTAAAAGTACTTGAATTCTTGCAAATATCCACAAAAATACGAGAGAAGAGTTGCTAATTTTTAATTTTTCCAAAACTTATATTTGGCATCCGCAAATGAACCAGACGTATAAATAATGATACATGTTATTTGAAGTTAACACATGAGCTTTGTCAGTTTCTCCAATTATCGAATTATAAATTATGACAAAAATATCCATGTCATCAAAAATCATGTTAAAGAATTTTAAATTACAAAAAAAATAAAAATTAAAAAAAAATAATGAAGATTGTAAACTAATGTTAATATCGTTTCAGCATTGCAAAATAAGAGCTATTATATGTATTATGATTTTAAAGCTTAAAACTGACATTGATTGAACTTCTAAGTACCATTATAAATTTTTGAACTAACGAGGAGGAATTCATATGGTAGTCAACATAATATTTCAAAATATCAAGCATCATTTTATTGAAGAATTAACGTCAAGTATGTTTGATATGAAAAATATTAAATAGGACTAGACAGCAATACTGTAGGTAAAATTAGTTAAAATCTCTATTCATATATCGTCCAATCCTTTTTAGTATTGATATCAAACTCACCCTCCATTTTTCAATGAAAGCTTGTCATTATGTGTTTTATCCAAAACATCTTGCCCTCCCTACTTCTTCATGCGCTCTGTTGTTTGCTCAATCTGCAAATTATAGTTTCTTAGTACAATTATAAGAAGCATATATATTTGGTATGATAATTTTTCGATCAAAATGAAACTAAAAATTGCCAAATGAAGAGTGAAAAGGTTCTTTAAAATAAGAATAAAAAAATAAGAAGCCTTCTTACACACAGAGAAATTCGAACATCTTCTTTGCTAAGATTAAAAAGATTACCTAAAAGTAAATCAAGTTTGAAAAGGAAGGGAAAGAAACATGTTCGAAAAAAGTTTCTTAAATTCCAAACACCGATTAAATATGAAAAACATTCTCAGCTATAGAAAAACCACTAGCACGAACCTCCTTATTCCAGTTGGTTTTGTAAGTACCAGCAAGAGAAGCAACGTCTGTAGAGCTACTCCAGCTATCATGCCACCCCAGAGTCCCTAAAAGAAACACTAAAGTCATAAGAATTGCTGGAAAGGAAATTAATATTTACGATATTGAAATTTGAAATGATGCAATTTTGACATAGGCGAATAGATAAGATTCTTTTAAAGGTATTGTTAAGAAAAGAAAACATCAAAATTCTTATCAGACTCAAAACATGATACATATTCCATCATAATTGTAATAATAAAGACATTGGCACACAAAACATGAATGAATTGATACAATAATTTTATAATTGAATCATGGGGAGTAACTTTTTTTTTTTTTTTATTCTCTCACTCAAGTTTGGTTTTATTGAATTTTCTTGACAAGTACAAGGCAATTATTATGTTATTGCAGTCCTTTTTTCTTTCGTTAGTATTATTGTCACATCGAATTTCTACCAAACCTACCTTCCATTTTTTAATGGAAACTTGTCACTATGTGATTTCTCAGTTACGTCTTGTCCTCCCCACTTTCGCATGCGCTCCGTTGTTTGCTCAACCTGCAATTTGTAGTTTCTCACTTCAATTATAAAAAAGATATTTGGTAAGATAATTTTTCAATGAAAATGAAACTAAAAATTGCCAAATAATTAGTGAAAAAATCTTCTTAAAGTCGAAAAACACGCCCTGGTATGCAAATAAAGAAATTCAAACATCGTCAACAAGTGAGAAAAACATTTACACATGTTTTTCGCTAAGCTTAAAAAGATTACTTCCAAGTAAATAAGTTATAAACTTAACTTCTTCTTTCCGATGTAACTTTTTCTTTCCTTAAAAAGTACATAAACATGTTTGAAAAATGTTTCTTAAAATCCATAAACGTTCTATGATAAAACATGAAAAACATTCTCAGCAAAGTAGAATCCCTAATACAAACCTCCTTGTTCCAGTTGGTTTTGTAGAGTACCAGCAAAAGCAGCAACGTCTGTAGAGCTGTTCCGGCTATCATCCCACCCCAGAGTCCCTAAAAGAAAACTAAGTCATAAGAATCGCTGAAAAGAAAATTGAATATTAATGATGTTGAAAGTTGAAATAATGCAATTTTGACGTAGGGGAATAGATGAGATTCTTTTAAAGGTATTGTTGGGAAGTGAAACATCAAAATTCAACTCTAGTAAATCATACCAACTTGTTGCTACAAACCCCGAGATACTACTATGGCAAAAGGTGAACAAATTCGATAACTCTAAATCAAAATTCTCTAAACTAATTCCCTCATGAGGAATTACCAAACAATTTGTCTTCTATAAAATCAAAATGATTTAACTTCATCCAGACCAGTAAAAAAAATTTCTTTTCGTCTTTCGGAGATCAGGTCTAAGATGAGAGGAAGTTCCGGCTATTAGATTACAATAAATGGCAGGCTGGATTCCAAAAAAGAATTGTGCTTTCGAAAATTGGGACACAAAATTCTTGTTCTAATTATGTCCATAATCGAACTAAGGACGCATATTCGTATAATATATAGGTTCAAGTAAAAGTATACTTACCATCACTCCAAAATTAGCCACATAGCCAAGAACATATCCGAGAGGAATACCAAAAAGGTAGTAACAAGCCAAGTTGATGTAAGCTACCAGAGTTTGCCACCCACCTCCAATGGCAACACCTGCAAAATGGCTCCGAAACAATTACTCCAGGAGAGGAAGGTAACATGATACCTAGAGATACGATGCAGCATTTAGATGTGGTAAACGATATAATCAAATTAAATCAATACCTGATATCACTGGTTGGACACTATTTAGAAGCATTGTACTTCCAAGAAGGATTGAAAGGTGAGATACTGCACGTAGCATAGTTTCGCTATGCGTATAAATTAAACCTAAATAATTTCTTGTAGCCAGGACAATAATCATGCAAAGAATCCCTATCAGCAGTGATTGAAAGACTGTGACATAGACAGAATATTTGATTACTCTTGGATGTCCAAAGCCAAGCTCATTTGAGACACGTACGCTGGAATATAGAAAAAATAGGCAGTGAAATGGTTAGGTGAAATGCCCAGAAACAAAAGAAATTAAGACTAATCAAAGCTAAACTCAATGATAAAAAATAAAAGTGCAGAAAATCGAATATATGAACACAAGGATTTTTTGGCCGGAGAGGTTTGGTGACCACTTCCAACACCTAATGCCCTTTTGATTGTCCAAAAAAGTAGATAATGCTCTATAACACTTTAAATGGCACCAAGGTTGCAAAAATGTACAGATTTACAAAGAGAAGTCTCAGAAGACTTATTTTTTGTATGTAACAACTCATTCGAGTTACTGTTCACCAAGAACCTAGCAAATTATATATACTCTGTATGAAATCGACAAAGTAAAGTATAACATATTACACCAAGTAACAAAACCAAAAATCAGAAAAGATGAAGATTTGAAGTCTCGAAGGAGGATTTTGAGGAAGGGTGAAGAACAGAGAAAAACTAAGCATTTCTCTAGAACATCTCAAAGCCAAAAGAATAAAGTGAACGAACAAAGAAACCAGATGAAGCATCTTAACCCACAGAAGAGTCTAGAAGCCAGGTCCAATAGCCACAAGTCATCCACGAGTCACAATCTGGTTATACACATCTACTAAGGAGACACATTTTGGAAATGCATTTCAAGATCAATTTTGGAAGCAAACTTCACATGTGAACAACACAACATTAGCGATAATAGACAAGATTTAAAACATTGACGAATAGCAGTTTGCGCTATCTAATCTGTTCTCAAGCTAGCACTACAACAACTTTGTAAATCTTGAAAAGTGATAAAAACCATTGTCATGGAAAAATAGTACTAAATATGTCTTGCCAATCAGTCTAGATTCTTCAATCATTTCGAATGCGAAAAAAATAGATAGACTAACATTTAGCACAATGGATTCCTATTTTTCCAAGGTTCATTTGTTTTCAACATCAATCATTTTCAAGCCACAAATGCTTTTAGGAGAAATTGTTTTCCGTGAAAAAATTTCCCTCATGTTGAAGTTACGATGGAGCTTATTGAGAACAAAATAAGAAGTGTTGGTAAGCATCTCAGTTTCTTACCTTATAGCAGCGTTGACTCCAATGAACAACATGGTCTGCCATGCATCAATGTCCATGCTGAAAGATTACATCAAAAGAAAAGATTGGTGTCTAAATTAAAATATTAGAATACTAAAATATAGAGTTGAGGCTTCTAATACATAATATAACAAGGGTTGTGCATGGTGTACATAATTTGGGTACATAGAGGTGTCCACTTGCGGCGGGTCCCACCCCATGTGAGGGGTGTGGACACCCTATGTATCCAAATTATGTACACCAAGACTTATCCATATAACAATTCTCATAAAGTTAAAATGGTAGTATAAATTCCAGTGACTTGTTAATAGCATGATAAAACTCTCAAAGATTTATTTTCGATTCCAATCAACAATTCATAATATTCTCATAGCTTGGCACATAATAAACTGGAAATGCGGCATTTGCAGCCAGACAGACCTTGAGTTATCGATGACAAATAACACGTCTAAGTGATGACTAAACTAAAATCAATCATTCATTGAAGAGAGCCAGTAAAATTCCATATACCTTATTTCCAAATTCATTTCAATGGTAGGGTGTAAAAAGTAGACTTATTTTGAACTCACCAAATAGAAAGGGAACCAATTGTAGTCACAGCATTGTCAAGGTTTCCAGCAAGGATAATGATGCTCATCATATACCAAATCTCGAGGCAGAGCATGACAGCAGATGAAAGGGAGAGCCTCACAAAGGCCCATATTTCGTTAAATGCAGACCAAGAAAATCCCTTCCAACCATCCTTGCACCAACCAACCACATAAGCAAATTGTGCAAATGCTGTGATCCAACTCGTAAGGTCGAATGCTATGGCTGCACCATATGCTCCCCAGCCAAATACATAAATGAAAAGCCAACACATGAAAACTTGTGAAACCAATGCAAGAAACGCGATCCATGCAAGCACGGCAACTTTACTCTGGGCTTGAAGAAACTTCTGAGTCGGAAAACTGACAGCAAGGGAAAATAATTGCGGGAGAATCAGAGTGGTATATACTCCTGCAGGATTTGCTATGTCATCCTCCTGTCCAAGGAGCTTCAGGATTGGGGTCGCAAACACGTAGAGTGGCAACAGGACAACACAAGTGGCAAATAGGATTATAGTTGAGCGTTGCATGTAAATGCCAAGCATGTGAACTTGACCAGCGCCGAATGCCTGACCACATAGCGTCTCAAGGGCACTCCCCATACCGAGCTAGACATATTGCAAAATAAGAATCAGGGTTTGTTAGTTTTGCCTCAAATTTCAAGATAAAGGGTGCCAATGCAGTGTTAATAAATCACTGAATCATGAAAGAAAATCATCTATGATGACAATGATAAGAGCAAAACCTGAAATGTTTTCTCAAGTTTCAGCATGTTTCCTAGAGTTTTCAAACATACGCCCCCACTTTTCTTTCTTTTTCATTTTTTTTTTTTTTTTTTTTTTTTTTTTTTTTTTTTTTTTTTTGGTTGTTTTGTTTTTCAGATTCAGAGCATTTTTGTCAAAAGAAGTTACTATCTTAGAAGTTGCGATCCACAAGGATTCCTGTCCCAGTTTATAAGGTCAGAAGTTGCTTTCGTGAATCACAATATGTTAAAGTGTGTCAACATAGAAATGATTGGCCAAAATGAAAAGAAATCATACAAGTGGTTGAATTCCTTGGCGAAAAGAAAAGCGTTCAAACTTATAGTTCAAAACCCTGAAAATGTAATCTCTATAGAATACAAGTGCATTTTTGTAAGAAAGACAATTGAACACAATAAAATTACAAGATACAAAGTCCGACTCTTAGCCCAAGCTTTCTCACAAAAACCTTATATGAATTATGAAGAAACAAATTCTCCTGTAATGGGCGCCATCACTTTTAAATTTTTAATTATTTTAACTGTATTACATAAGCTCGATATGTTCCTTGTCGATATAGTGATTGTCTATAAATAATGTTCACTTGATAATAACATAGACATGAAAGTATCCGAAGTACTTAAAGTGCCACAAACAAATCATACATGCATTAGAACAATGTTTTCAATTAAATTGCAGATATCATTATATAGATTGAAACAATCTGAATGCAAGTAGTATAATCGCTTTAGCAAATATTCGCTGAATGAGGGTTAAAAATTGATAATGTCAGCCCATGTGTTTTCATAAAGAAAATATATGTTGAATTTGTAATTATGGCAATTTATGTTGATGATTTATATCTAATTGGAAATCCTGAAAAGCTCAACAAAAATTCAATTTATTTGCAAAATAAATTTGAAATGAAACATTTGGAAAAAAATAAATTTTATTTTAGGTTGCAGATTGAACATTGTTGGAAAAATAATATAGTGATGACTTTAAAAATCAAAAACAAAATTACCAACCTTACAGAATAACAGCAAGGAAACAAGAAAAATGACGCCAAATGAAATGGATGCAAAGTTGAGGTAAGAGTTGAACTTTTTATCCATAACTTGATTTTGCCCCGCAACGGTGCCTTCGAATGATGACAATCAACTCTCAAGATACAACGACTATCTTCTTGTGTTAGGAGCACTCCAAAATATAAGATCAGCGAACCAAACCCAAATTTTGTACTTCTTTTTAAATGAACAAAAGAAAGCCAAAATTTATGCAAAGTTTATGCAGAATTTTGGTAGAGAAAGATGAAAGTAATGTTATGCTATGATTGCATATCATTGGGATTAAAAAATGAACATCCCAAGAGTCCTATTTATAAAGGGGGAGATTATAAGTGAAGAGACACGACCCAAACTCAACAACCTTTGTCAAGAGTCACAACTTTTGTTGTCGCTTACTTATTGCTTTTGCCTTATTCGAGCATCAAAATTCGTTGGCCTGTCGCTCGAGCTAGAGCCTCACCTCTCGAGCGCCATTGCCAAGCTAGCCTAGGCGAGCAACAGAGTTGGTTGAATTCCAACCAGTTTTTCCTCTTTCTTCCCAACTTTGGACCATAATTTCTCATTTATCCAAAATTGGTTTTGGGATTCCAAATATAACACGACAATCAACTTAACGAGTAGAACAAGTTAATCTGTTTACATTAGTAATTTGACTATCATGTCAAGTCCAAATGTTTGGTCGGAATTGATACGAAAGTCACGTTCCCCATTTTTATACTTAACCAATTCCAACAATTACCTACATAAATGGAAATTCACAATATACAATACACAATGCAAATAATATGCAGACTCTAACAAAAGGAGTACATATGACATTTTTTTTATGATCGTGAGTATCCGAGCTGCTTACGCGCACCTCGACTAATCCCACGGTCCTAAAATTTATAGCCGAATACTCACCTCAGTGGTCCTAAAGGTATTCGAACTGGTAACCATTGGAAAGCAAACATATGACAAGTTATAGCATCAACAAAAGTGGCTTATGGCTTTGAACTTTCCTTAGTTGAATACAATCTAATTTACTAAACTAATTGGTGAACTTGATGTCTTGAATCATTCAGCTGTTCGTGTAAATCAAAACAACTATACCAACACCATAACTTATCAAACCAGTTCGGTTCTCATGGTTGTGTTCATTTTAACCCTGAACAACTCTTGGTTTCATAAGTGCTTTATGATATTTAAACTTCAAATTCTCGTAGAAGCGCCCCCCCTTCACACTTATATAGGTGATCCCCTACCTTTGCTCCAGGGTGTAGATATCATGAAAAGTATACACTTATCTTTATACACTGTTTTATTCTAGCACTTAAAATTTGTAGGAGTGAGAGTAAGTGCTTTACTTTGAATCTTTCATTACTTGGTTGTCCCATTGAACCAAGATCTTGGGATCTCCATTCTACAAGGTTGGGTTTCCGTTATAGTGACCCCATTTGATAGGCTTTAGGCCCATTCCTCTCGAGAGATGGTATACTTTATCTCTTGTAAGTCCTTTCGTTTGTTCAAAGGGGGCCTCTTATCTATCAATGGAAAAATCTCCGTATGTGGCGTAATAGGGATCCACTAAGTTGTCTTTTGATCCAACATAATGAATCGAGATTATATCATTTAACTGTTTAACGGTATTATGTCCGATGTCGAGATTTACCATTATACATATTATTTTGTGCCCTTGCAATTGTCGATTGATTATCACAATGGCTATTAATCATTGGTACCAACTTTTCCCAACATGGAATATCTTCGAGAAAATTACGAAGCCATTCCGATTTGTCTCCGATTTTATCTAAAGCAATATACTCAAATTCCATCGGGGATCGAGCTATACAAGTTTGCTTAAACGATTTCCAGGACACAGCTCCGCCTCCAATAGTAAATACATAACCACTTGTTGACTTTGAATCCTTTGTGTCAGATATTCAATTTGAATTGGTATATCCTTTTAGCAAGCAAGATATCTTGAGTAATGCAATCCATACCCAAGCATGTGTGTTAAGTATTTAAGTACTCGGGTCAATTCCTTCCAATGATCAATACTCAGATTACTTGTAAATCTACTCAACTTGTTGACTACAAATGCTATATCCAGACGTGCAGTTGGCAATGTATATCAAACTGCCTCTAACATGTGAATATTCCAATTGAGATACGGGATCACCAGTGTTTTTAGCTAAGTATAAACTTAAATATATTGGTATCTTAATCGATTTATCGTCATACGCCTTAAATTTCTAAAGTATAGCCTCAATATAGTGTGATTGAGACTGACAAACCATCAAGCACCTTACTGATCTTAATCCCTAATATCACGTTTGCGATTCTCATATCTTTCATGTCAAAATCAACATTGTCTTAGTTGAGGAAATAGTGTTCGAGTTATTTCTCATGATTAGAATATCATCAACATATAGACATACGACCAGTATTCATTAGGTGTGTTTTTTATGTAGACACTTGTTACATTCATTGATATTGAAGCCATTTGACAACATAGATTTGTCAAATTTTTCATGCTACTACTTCGATGCTTGTTTTAAACTATATAATGATTTTACAAGCTTATACACCTTCTCATTTCTCGGAGCAACAAATCCTACAGATTGTTCCATATATATTTCTTCTTTTAATTACCATTTAAGAATGCAGTTTTAACATCCAATGATGTATTTCAAGATTATGCAATGCCGCGATTACAATCAATACACATATAAAAGTGACCCTAGTAACGGATGAATAGATATTGAAAAATCTAATCCTACTGTCTATACCATTTGACTAATAATCTAGACTTATATTTGTCTATTGATCCATCCGATTCCAATTTCTTTTTGAAGATCCACTTGCAGGCTTGTAGCCTAAAGCTTTAGGTCCCGAAGAAAGTTCAACCAATTCCCGAGTATGGCTATTCATGATGGATTCAATTTCATTATTAACAAATTCAATTTCATTATTATTACCTTCTAGATGGTTTCCATTTACAGCATCATAAGTTCATTTGTGTGAACTTATTTCTTTTTCCTTACACAAAAAGATATCATTAAAGAAAGCAACATTACTTGATTCAATGATCATATCTTCACGTACATCAAGTATTTTCGATTTATGATCCAAAAATCGATATACATTACTATTATTTGGATATCCGATAAAGACACAATCTATTATCTTGGGTCCAATCTTTACTTGTCGGTCTAGGTATTTTTTTATTTGCTAAACACTCCCACACTCTTAAGATATTTGTAGAAAGGTTTCCGACATTTTCATAACTCATAAGGTGATTCAATCTTACTTTTGTGTGGTATTTAATTAAGAATATGATTTGCTGAAAGAATTAATTCCCCCTAAAAGTTGAGGTAAATTTGAAATAATTAACATTACATTCATCATTTCCTTAAATGTTTGATTTTTGTGTTCAACAACCCCATATGATTGAGGTAAATATGGTGGTGTAGTTTGATGAATGATTCTAGATTCTAAACAAAATTCTTCAAACGGAGCGACATATTCTCCTCCTCAATCACTACAAATCATTTTTATTCGTTTTTCAAGTTGATTTTCAACTTCAGCTTCATCATTATTTCTCAACAAGTATATATAGCATTATCTTATACAATTATCTATGAATGTAATGAAATACTTTTTACCACCTCTTGTTTATAGGTTGTGAATAAGTTCTAACCGTGTTGTCCTTCATTCAACTGACTGAAATGGCGGTTTGGCCAACTTAGCCTCTACACAAATTTCACATTTCCCATTATTAAAATGCATACTAGGTAATAAATTTAAATTCATTAACTTGTGTATAGATGAATTAAAGTTTGCATGTCCTAATCTATAATGCCATAAATTAGACGACTTAAAAATATAAGTAAAAGAAGATATTTCATTCCTTGAATTATTGGATACAATAGTAAGAATATTCATCTTGAATAGTCTATCTTTTACATAACCTTTGTCTGCATACATATTATTCTTTGTAAGCATAAACTTATCAGATACAAATACCAGTTTGAAGCCATTCTTGCTCAAAAGAGAACCCGACACTAAGTTCTTGCAAATATCCGGCACATGAAGAACAATGTTTTCTTGCTCGATATCATCTTTAAGATTACTTTCCCTTGTCCTTCCACTTTTGTACTAGAAGAATTTCCCATGAATAGCTTCTCGCCCCTCTGTTGGTATGTAGGAAGAGAACATTCTTTTATCGACACCTATGTGACGGGTAGCACCCGTATCTACCCACGACTCCATTAGATTTCCAACATTGTTGCATTCTGAAATAACGATCGACAAATTTATATCTGATATACAATCAGAATCGCTTCTTAGATTTGCGACAATCAATAGAGCGATGTATGACTTTTCCACAATTATCGCAATTGTCCTTGAATTTCTTTGCATTCTTCTTAGAAGCTTCCAAGGAATACTTTCTTTTCTTGCTCTTGTTATTTGATTCCACCATATTGGCCTTAGCTTGTGGCATGCGACTCCCAACACATTTGTTTGAACTTTTGTCATCTTCTTCAGTTCTCAACCAAACGACGAATTCTTCAATATTCATCTCCTTGTGCAAGTGCTTAGATAATTCATGAAGTCCTTCCATATGGGGTGGAAGTTTCTCGATAATTGCAACCACTTGAAATGATTCACTTCAAGACATGTTCTCTGCATGATGTCATGGAGAATCATCTGCAATTCTTGTACTTGATTGATTACTATCTTTGAATCTACCATTTTGTAGTCCAAAAATTTAAACACGATGAACTATTTTGTTCCAACATCTTTAGTCTTGTATTTCTTTTCTAAAGACTCCCATAGTTCTTTGTCAGATTCCTTGGAACTACATACGTTATATTACGCATTATCCAACCCTCAGGATGTAGTTCTTATATAAGAAATCTGAATGTTTCTAAACATCCATGCTGATAGTGATGCTCTGTTATTTTTCCGTTCTTGCATGGCGGAGCATCTACATTTAAGAATTTTGCCAAATTTAAGGTTGTAAAATAGAACAATATTTTCTGTTGCCATCTCTTAAAGTCAACCCCAATAAATTTCTTCAATTTCCGCAACCGAAGAGAACGCACCAGTAGGAACAATTCCTTCCAAAGTTCACATATTCAAAGTATCATCCAAAGTGGTATCGGTATTGAAAACTGTATTCATTTCTATTTACATAAAACAAAAGACAAACCACAAATCGAATTCGAGAATGGGTAGAAGATGTTAAAACGAAATGAAATCAGTTTAATCAAATAGAATAAAGTAACCACTCCAAAAGATCAACTTAAGATTGTTGGAAAAATAAAAGAGTGATGACTTTAAAAAAAAAAAAATACCAACCTTACAGAATAATGACGAGGAAACAAAAAAAAAGCCAAATGAAATGGATGCAGAGTCGAGGTAGAGTTGTCCTTAAGTTAATTTTGACGAGTAACGATGCCTACAGATGATGGTAGTAAAAAACTAAGATACAGTGACTATCCTCGTGTTAGTAGCGCTCCAAAACACAAGATCAGTGAACCAAAACCGAATTTTGTACTCCTTATTAAATGAACAAAAGAAAACCAGTATTTATGCAAAGTTTATGCAGAATTTTGGTAGAGAAAGAGGAAAATAATGTTATGCTATGATTGCATATCATTGGGATGAAGAAATTGACATTCCAAAGGTCCTATTTATAATGGGGGAAAGGTTGCAAGTGAAAAGACACGGCTCAAACTCAGCAACCTTAGCCAAGAGTCGCAACTTTTGTCGTCGCTCGCTTGTCGCTTTTGCCACGCTCGAGCATCAAAAATAGTGAGCCCGTCGCTCGAGCGGTAGGCCAGCACTCGCCTGTCGCTGGCCTATCGCTCAAGCAACAGCCTCACCGCTCGAGCGATAGGCCAGCGGCAGAATTAGTTAAATTCTAGGCAATTTTTCCTCTCTTTCTTCCCAACTTTGGACTGCAATTTCTCATTCATCCGAAATTGATTTTAAGATTCCAAATATACCACGACGATCTACTCAACGAGTAAAACAAGTTAGTTTGTTTACATTAGTAATTTGACTTTCGAATCAAGTCCAAATACTTGGTCAAAGTTGACACGAAAGTCACTTTTCCATTTTTATACTTAACCAATTCTAACAAACATTTCCAAAAAAATTATTTATTCATCAATCTTCATATATAGAAAAGTCATAAAATATTCTTATATAAATAAAACACATCCATTGGCATTACATATGATTGTTGATCAATTGATATGAAAAAAAAAAAAGGAAGGGCATTTCATCCAATTGAAAATGGAGAAAAGGTACTTGGTCTTGATGTACCATATTAATTGTAGCATTAACATATCTTACAAACTGTACTAGACCAAATAAAACTTTTTCCTTGCAAGATATAGCTTTACATTAACTCAAAAATATTGAAATGGTGTTAACACCTTTTTTGTTACCTAGGAGGTACTATTGTTAAGTGAATATATTATCCTAGAAAATTAAAATTTTCTTTAGTAAGATATACATATGCAGGTTATCTCTTTGATCCACATAAAACTAAATTATAAATGGGATTTGTGTTTACACGTAGTGGAACAGCTATATCATGTAAATCCATGAAGCAAACCTTGACGTAATATCTTAAATCATTCTGAAATCATTACAATACATGAGGCAAGTCGAGAATGTATGTGGTTGGGGAATGACACATCATATCCAAGTATCATGCGGATTAGTTTCAACAAAAAATAGTCCAACAATATTATATAAAGATAATAAATCTTATATTGCACAAACCATATTTCTCTAAAATTCTTTTATACACATGAGCTTCAGAAGATTGGTGATATTGATGTTTAAAAAAATTCGCTCGAGTGATGATATAACTAACTTATTCAAAAAAACATTATCGACGTCTATATTTAAGAAATTCGTACACAAGATAGGAATGTGTTGGCTCGGAAAATTTGGTGATCAACATCAAGGGAATTCGCTATATTCTATTTCCTTCGCTTAATTTTATTCCACTGGATTTTTTTAACAATGTTTAAATAAGGCCGCATTTATTTTAACACTCCAATAATAAAGATACTCTTTTTACTTTTCTTTTTTTTTCGATTTTTTATCCCACCAGGTATTTATAGAACAAGATTTTATCGAGGCAATTATTATGTAATGAGTTATTCAAGGGGGTATTGTAAATTATAGGTGGATTAGTGAATAATCATTGTATCCATTTAGCCATAGTTATTATGATTATTGTATTCCCTAATTTTTTCTATAAACATAGAAACCCTGGATAGCTCAGTGGTCAGGCCTTGGGTTTGCTATCCAATGGTCATCAATTCGAATCTCCTCATTGCCACTGAAATAAGTACCTGACTGTAAAATTCAGAACCATGTGGAACTAGTCGAGGTGCAAGTAAGCTGGAGAGACCCATGGTCATCCAAAAAAAAAAACATAGAACTTTGATTCTCACAAAATATACAAAATTCTACCGATTTCACTTTCATGTCATTTCTCTTTGCTTTATATCACTGTCAATTATTATGTTTTGTTTATTTAGCTACTATCCAAAAGTCCAACTCAACTACATAATCTTAATTCACCTCCAACCTCCCCCTCAATAATCCAATTGGAGCCACGATTTTCACGTAAGAGCAAAATATGTTGTATATCCGACAGCGATGACCGTAATTGAGACAAATCGAAGAATCCAAGTCGAGGACACACACACACACACACATAAATAAATAAATAATTATTTGCGTATGGGGAGTGGAGGAACTGACCAGGAGACCGAAAGAAAATGTGGAGATAACGGACAGAGCAATAGAAAAGGCGGATAGTTCAATATCTCCGAGATGCCCAACAAACATGATGGCTACAGCGCTAGTTCCATACTGACACACAATTTGAAATGCTATTGGCCCGCCTATTCTCCATAGTTTCCCAGACTCTATGCAGAATACCCTCCACCACGGTTTAAGCCCTCTTATTGGGAGGTAATCCCCGTCGTCTCCAATGAGCTGCAACTCGTCGGGCTTCCTATCAAGTAGCGGTGCCGCCTTCATCTTGAGCGAAGGGAGGTGGAGACGAGATGTAGAGGAGACGATTCAAGTATGTGGCTCCTGCGTCGTGTCTTCTCGTGAACCGTGGCTGAATTTGAGTCCAGTGTCATAAATGTGCAAAAATAAACTTGGTTGGAGTTGTCTTAAAAAGAATAAAGGATTGGAAATGATTGTATTTCAAATTTTAGGACTGCAACAGAATTGTTAAGGAATTGATGATGCCATTTGAGGAATCGACGAATGCATGCTTGTTATTTTTATTTTAAAATTTCTTGAAAAGTCAAATACATTAGTCCATGCTCCATAGGATGCAAGTAACAAAAATAATTAACTTGAATCAAATACAATGCAATCCATAAGAAGCAAGTGAAATTATTTTCAGTTGAGATTTTTACAATTATTTTTTGTGGTTTCAATCAAAACCAGGGGCGAACCCAAGGGGTCTTTGAGGTCAAGCGAACCCTAACTTTTGAGAAGTTTTTTCCTTGGATAAATCTCGTTTGGTATCGATTGAAATATAAATTTTGATTCAAATCAAAGTTAATAATTAATTTCAATAATATATTTCATCGAATCCTTGACCTTTTAACTTTTATAAAAATTTACTAAATATCTAAATCTAACCCCACCAAATAGGAGTAAAATTATAATAGATATCAATTTTTCTCTTCATCCTCAAGCTTTTTACAAAAAACCTTAACCTTTCTAATTTTTTAAAATTTGTTTATAATTTTTTGACAAATGATCACATCTACTACAATTTTCACTTTTCAATCAAATTTTTAATTAATTAGAACCTAAATTTGCATTTTATCCTATCATATTTTTGTACATAGAATTGTATATGAACTAATTATATCCAATTTAAAATATATTTAATGAATTCTATTTATTTAATTGAATATTGATTATATATTTTTTTCTATCTATCACTTGAATTGATTGTTTGTATTAAATACACTATAAAAATTTTAAATGTAAATATGAATTTTCTCGTGATGAGTAAAATATTAATAAAATGACTGTTTGAAGTCATATGGATGAAAATTATGAGCAAAATATTAATAAAGAAATATTTTTTAAACGTAAATCTGCATTTTCTAGGATCAAGTATAAATCATTTAAAAATCAATAACAAAATATTGTATTTGTACAAAATTTGATTGTACTCTTCTAACTAAAAATTCATGTCTCCACCCATGATCGAAACGTAACTCTAAATTTATGTTTAGGAAATGTTTATAAATGATTTAAATTACAAATTGGTAAAAATAAAAATCAAATAAATGAATAATATTTGTGAAAATTTCAAAGTATGTAAAAAAAAATGAATTAAATATTTATAATAACTCTACTATTTGTACACCTAGTCCCTGTTTGGCCCCCTTTTTTTGAAATGAAAATGAGTAAAATAATATTTTTTTGAAAAATGAGTGGTTGAAAAAAAAAGAAAAAAAATTAATTTTCGTGTAATATTATTTTATAAAAATTGTGTGGTTGAAAATATGATAAAAAAATGAAATAAAATTTAATGGAGGCAATCGGGGCCTAACTTATACAGGCTCCAGGCTGCCTGAAAACTTATTGTGGTGACAAATTATGAGAAGCCCCCACTCACATTTATGAGTCACTTTTTTTTTTTTTTTTAATCATTTTAGAAGAAATGATTTTGCAAAGGAACTTTTTGACCAAAAAAGTAAGTCCTTTTATAGGAGTGAAAAAGGTCATAATAAAAGAGGGCTGAAACAGGATCAGATTCAGTTTCAGACAGTACGTCTGTACGTGTCCAATTTATCGATTTTGTGATCACTTTCATTGAAAAATAAGAATCAAATATGTGATATTTCAAGAATTTAGCACATGAAAAGACTGAGGTCCATGAATCAAGTATGTGGATCTAATCCAACCAAGTGTAAGAAGGCTGTCAGAATTTCCAAGACAAACGTACCAAATACATTAAAATTATGAAAAATGCAAAGGGTATACATAGCCCGGTTTGAATCCCATTTTTTTATTAAAATATATTTTTTAAGAGTAATTTGATATTATTTTAATCATATTTTTTAATAAAATAATAATATACGCAAATCTAAATTTTTTTTATTTTTTAATCGCACGTTCTTCATCATAATACTATTTCAAAACACATTTTTGATAAAAATGGGACTCAAACAACCCCTTAATCCGTTTCGTCCCTATTTTAGGAAATGAAAATGATTGGAATAGTATTTTTTTTAAAAATTAAGTGATTAAAAAATTTTTGATTTACGTGTAACATTATTTTATGAAAAATTGTGTAGTTGAAAATAGAAATGAGAAAAATGAAATGAGTATCAAACGGGCATATCCTCATTTCGATCCCATTTGAAATGAAAATGGATAGAATAACTTTTTTTTATTGTTTTTAAAAAAATGAGTGATTTAAAATATAAAAATAAAATATAATTTAATGAAAACAAAATGAAGATTTAGTTTGACAACCATTTAATAGGGGATGGGGCAATCAAAATAATTGTGGCTTCACCCCCTATTAGAGGGCTATCAGTCGAGGTGGTGTACATCTAGCATTGTTGTAAAATTATATAATTCAATCTTTTCTTTTTCATTTTTTATTCACAAATTTTTCAATAAAATAATATTAAACGTAATTCAAAAGTTTTTTTCTTTTTAACCACACATTTTTTGAAAAATTACTATTTTAAAATGCATTTTTTCCATACTCTCATTATAATGAAAGCCAAACAAAGGCTAAACCGAATTATTCTTGATGGACATCGCCATCGTCAAGCAAAACTCCATTAACAATGTATTGTATATCAAAAGTTTGAAAGAATTGTGCTATGTGTACATCGGGGTGTCACACCCCTCACAAAAGGAGGTTACGATTTTTTATTATTTGCAAGGCTTAACTTTAGTGAGAGGCCGTAATTCTGGGTGTCATCCAGGAATGCAAAAACTGCAAAACTCATTTGTGAAAGCCTACTATAAGTGCGTCGAACATACATTGCAGCTCATTCGTAAATTGCCAAAATTTTACACGCTTATGTATCAAACACCTAAAGATATTGCAATCTAAGTAAAAAAAATAAAAAGTCGTGCAAGTTATTGTAGGGACGAACATTGTTTTGTTTGGACGATTTTGACTTATATTTAAATAATGATTAGAAATTTTTTCAAATAGTTTCTCTTCCATTCAAAGAACCAATTGAGTTCATAAAAAACTATTCCTTCCGTTCAAATAAAAAGTCAACATTCTCTAACTTTGATTTCCATTTTTTCAAAATACATTTTTCTCTTTTTTATTTTCAACCATTTATTCTTCAATAAAATAATATTACACATAAATTCAATTTTTTTTTATTTTTTAATTATATATTTTCCATCAATCTACTATTTTAAAATGCATTCTAACCTAAAAAATGGGACTCAAACATACCCTAAATTTTTTAACAAAGAGTTAAAGGTTATTTTGACTATACCAATTGATAGAAATAAATTTCTTTTAATATAATTTATTACTTATTGTCAATATTTTATAAGAATATTGTATTATTATTTTTGAAAGAGTAAAAATTTTAAACTAATATTCTAGAAGAATATTTGAGTAAATTTGTTTTATTATTTCGAAAAAGTTTATTCCGTTGCTCCTGGAGAAGTACAAATTCAAACATTACAATATCTCAAAAGAATGTTGTTTATTATTTTTGAAGAAGACGGTGCAGCACAAATCAATATTATAAAAGAGTAATTTCATCCCATAGAATTGATTTAGATTTTGAATATTATTTTGTTATTGATCCAGAAAAGCATAACTTTATAAATTTCAATTCTCGAATAATATTATATTGTGCTTCCGAAGAAGTACCACTAATATGGTATAACTAAATATCGTATTAAGATTCTAAAAGATCAATGGTATTCTTGAAGAACACACGACCCATGTATACATTTTTTTTTTTTTTTTGATTGTTAATTTGTACCATAGATCATATTGGCATTGTCATGGAGTTCTCATTAGAAATTGTCTCAGTAAGGCTTTTGATAATTCTTAATGATACATCTCTAATAATTTTCATTTGGTTACTAGAATCTGAAACGTGACAAGAATTTGTTTTTATTGTTTTGGAATTGACGCACGATCTGTGTATTACAATCATTTATTTTTGTGCAATATTTTGACGGAATTTATTTGAAAAAGGGGTTAAAAATATTCAAATTAAATTTTGACATGCCATACAAACTATTTAATGCTTATTCCGACAGGCTTGATTTTTCTTTAGTCGGATAGAACCAAACGTACTCTAAATACTAGAATTAAACTCGTATTTTTATAGAAAATATGTTTTCCTTTTCAAATTCGGCTACGAGTACATCAGGATGTCCATCCCCTCACATAGAGTGGGACCCACTTCGAGTAAAATATAATTTATCTGAAGTGAGTCCCTCTCCACGTAAAGTAATTGACATGGACATTACATTATATATAAATAGCATATTCCATTTCGATAATGTAAAAAATTAATGTCAATGGTTTGAGTATAATATTAAATTATATATGTGAAACGTTAGAGCGTTGTTGACTTAAATTACTATTTTTTTTTTCTATGTAATATTAATCTTATATTGATAAATAAAAATACGTTTGTTGTTTTATATTTTCCTATACACCCCAAAAAGAAATTTATAAAGTAATATTGTAAAACCACGTGCATTGTAGGTTTTATTTAATAGTGTTAATAAAACCCTATTAAATTTCAACACACTCAAAACTCGTCTAACATCTAAGCAAGTACGAAGCTAACTAATAGTATCTCCAATACATTCAATGAATCACTATTTAGGTGATACAGAAGTTGAAAGACTTTCAATCGATGTGACATTAATGGATAATAAACATACGAATAAGTCTAAAAATGGTCCCTATAAACATCATCTATCCTTGCTCGAGATTAAATTTTTTTTTAAACATCATCAATTCTTGCTTGTGTGGCATAATTTTTTTAGGCAATCCACGATTCATTCGATATGCTCAAAGGTCGCATATTTAGACAAGATAAGTACTTATACTAAGTAAATCTTCAAGACTGATTTCCTATTCATAATAATTTTATAATAAATTTAATTTACTGATCGAAATTTTATTGTAAATAGAGTGATAGAAATTAATAAATATTATGGAATGAAAAATTCCATGGATAATAATTTAAGATTAATAAAGGAGTTTTCATAGTCGTTAATTCCATAAAAATT